AACTGATATACTTCATTATTAACAGAGATATTCACATGTTTATTTAAAAAAAGAAAGAAAAAAGCTCAAACAGTTTTATTTTCCTCTACAGTATTTCTCTTTTTTATTCATTTTCTGCATTTCGAAGCATGCCAAGGAAATGCGATTCTGCATAGTGTCGGCTATAAGGATGCCAAGAATTCATTTCTTTACAAGTCTTCCTTATGTACAGCAAAATAGGGAAGGAGAAAAATAGCAATCCAGTGTAAACGAAAAACCAAAACAAACTAAAACCCAAAAGATTGAAAAATATGTACAGATGAGATTCATGATTGGAAACTGATGCACTGGTAAAGCCTGTTTAATAGTATAATCGCATGGATTTGGGTTGCGTTTGGCCGGTTTTATGTGATCTGTGTCTAAAGTTGACGGCACAAACGCCCTTGGCTTTAAATCCCTGTAAATAGACGTCAAGAAAGCAGAGATCCTCCTCTTTAGTAAGAGAGACGGTGTAAAGTGCACAGCGGTACACCGAACATCAGGAGAAACACACACACACACAAAACCCATTCAGCAGGACAGATCATTATCCAGTGATGTGGAGAATAATCACAGAATGAAACACAATAATCTTGTTATATAACCTCCATTAATTACTGTAATTACATTAGGACAATGATGCCGTGTTTTGTGAATCAAGCAGGCTGCATTTCTGCGCTCACAGTCACCTGACACAGATTAAGAGCAAACCTGGATTACTAACAAACCAAACAAACTAAAACTTAAGGACTTCATGTGTCAGAGATTTCTCCAACTTTACCAACAAAATACTAGATCTATGCGAGGGTGAATCTCACAAACAATTATTTTTGAAACTCAGTAAAAAAAAAATGTAGAAAAAAATGTCCCAAAAAACTTCCATAATGTTAAAAAAAATCCCCTGATCCTATGATCCTTAAATAAATAAATAATTTATATAAATAGACAGATAGATAGACAGAGACAGACAGATAGATAGATAGATAGATAGATAGATAGATAGATTATTTTAGGATCAGGTTTTTTTTGGGGGAGGGGGCAAATTTTCCAGTTTCTTTTTACTGTGATCAAAACTAATTAAATATAAAATATTTATGAATTAAAGCAGTATTTGTTGGCTTTAATTTATGATGGTTTAAAAAATTGCAATAATGAATTGCAATCTAAAGAGAATCATCACTGAGAATAATACAAACTATAAAAAATCCTAAAAACAGATTTTGTTGTCTTTATGCCTATATATCTTTTTGTTGCCTTGCTTTTGATATTGGGGTCAAATTTGACCTGTAATTGTGAGATTCACCCGTATAAGATGGTAAAAAGACTCATATACACAGAATTATAGACAACAATAATAATAATAATAAAATGAATAACAAATATGAACTAGATAAACATGTGCAAACTCCTGCACTCATCCAAGTAAACGTGACGATTGTTATTTAATGCAGTAGTGTTGAACAGTGCTTTCACATTGACACAGACACACGTTTGATCAGACGCGGTGAAATCAACCGTCCTTGCGTTCAGTTTACCAGTTGAATTCAAATTAGATATAATATTTGGTATCAACAAAACATAAATCACAATTAAAAACCTCTAAATTCAAGCCTAGAGGCAGAACGATACAATCGTGGTCATGATTCACGTATGGATGCTGATGCACAACACGTTCTCATGCTAATATGTCTTCCTTCCTCAAGAAAGTTTATATTAAATATTATAGTCATTTAAATATAATAATGGTAAGTCTGATATAAAATAAATGGCTAAATATTAAAAGTGTTTATTATCGCATGCTTAAGAGCGTATATAAAGTTGATTTTTTTCATTGGTCCACACGTCAATGGAAAACCAAAACCAATTCATTGCCAAGTTCAAGAGCTCATAAATGTACCAAATAATAATTAATAATCACGTGACTGTGACTGCAGGCCGTAAACACCACAGACCAACGAAAAACATTTGGTCCAACCCAATCTTCAATATTTGGTTTCGTTTGTGGTTTAAAGGATTCGGTATTGCTAAAGCTAATGTGTTCTAACTACAAAAATCACGTCGAGTTGAAAGAAAAGCTGAAAAACAAACGAACGGAAGCCAAGCGGGACGTGACGCGCGATCAGCTCTTTGCATATTGTTCATCCAGTGTCACAACACATGATATGCTTCATCATAGCTTTAAAAACCCGCCAATCACCTCATCCAGCCAATCCAGTGTGCTTGGGTGGGGCCTGAGGCTCCGCCTCCTTCATCGATGCACAGGAAATGAAGGCAATGACAGGACAGACACACAGGTTATTATTATTAGAAGGGTTTTCTTCTGTTAGGCCAGCTAACACTAACGAGTTCAGTCAGTTTTGGAAGCGCCGCAGACTTGAAGAGAAAGATCGAGAGAGTCTGGAAAATTCAGTGCAAGACATAATGGCTACTTGAAGTTAGTAAGAATCATCATTATTTGTTTAGGGATATCCAATACTGGACGACAGCAGTAAAGACGAGTAAAACCACCTCCAGTGAACCTCTGAACCTCCGCAGTGCAAAACCAGAGCCAGGTTTTGGTCTGGTTTGTTGTGGTCTCTCTAGCTCCCGGGGTCTGAGCCGTGTTTCTGTGGCGTCTGTGAGCTCAGTGACGTGTGTGGCTCCTGCAGGGAGAAGCGCCGGTGGATGTCGGGGTCGGGCTCCAGCTCCAGTCGGGCCCCGAGGCTGGAGAATCCGGGTCGAGGAGCGGCGCTGACCGCTGGATGGAGCTCCACGGAGCTGCTGAGAAACTCACAGGACTGCAGGAGAAAACAGAGCAGAGATGCTGCTGCTGTCACACTGTTTGCAAACCTGAGTAGTGCTCATACATTAGCACCAGAACTATAGTAGCTGTTTGCCCAGCCAAAACTTTAAATAGAATCAAAGATAAAATAAAAAATATAACTTCATATATATTACAAAAAAGCAACAAACAAAAAACAACAACAAAAAACAAATAAATATAAATTACACAAAATGTTCGAATATTTATAGTATTATGTATATTTTAATTATAGATTAATTTAATATGAAACATATAACATTTAGAATTTAATATGAAATAATATATTTGACTTCTATATATTTCGCACACACACAAACACAGATATAAAATGCAATAAATAAATAAATAAAAAATATTAAATCTAAATGATATAGAAATTAATTCAAATGTTTTTTGTTTATTTCAAAAATGTATTCAAGGCCTTTATTAGGTGGTAGCAGCTCATGATGGACTAAATGAAAAGAAAACTGAGAGTAGTAAACTATATATATATATATATATATATATATATATATTAGTGCTGTCAAACGATTAATCGTGA